GCAGGATGGCAAAAATTTAGAAAATATAAAGATACTAATGTCCAAAAAATATTAATCATATAAACACGCACATTATGGCTATTTACATCATTCGTGATTATGATGTTCTATTCATGGTCACGTTTTACAACAAAAAATGTTTTTAAAAGTGCGCGTTCAAGCAATTAGCAACAATAAATTTGGGATGTTTCGTTCTAGTTAGGTTATTGATGTTTTCATATGCAACATATTTCTGAATATCAATTAAGTAATCATTATGCAGCTATTTAAAAAAAAGGATTTCTTCGAGTGAACATCATCCTCCTACTTTTAAGCAGAATTTTGGCATCGGACTTCATAAGGGAGACAGTTTGTGGGTCGATACCGATTGAATATAAACCATGCAGCGTTACATTGTATGTGCTCTAATTCGGAAACGTTTTGTTGCAAGAATGACACCCAAATTGTGCTTGCGTATTTAATCATTGATAATCTCAGTTACGTTTCTACTGTTAATTTAAGCTCCCCCGAATGAAAAATCCATCAATGTAACCCTGTTTGGCAGTCAATAGACAGTTTTAGTGGATCGTACGCTAAAGCCTTGCGTACGCAATAAAATTGCGGGTCGGGAGTGCGCGTGCGCAGAACGCAATAGGAGAGCTAGCGTATTGCGTACGCACGCAACGCTGGGGATTTTGCATGGCGGGCTAGCGGGCTCTGCGGGACGTTCTCGAGAGATCTCGGACCCAACGAGAGCACCAGTTTCAAGATGGCGGTTACCTCGACTGGCGCAGCAAAGGCGACGTGGTGTTTTCAAAGTTCTGTGTTACGTGAAATTGCGTGGTGTTCAGCTCGGCAATTCTTTCCGGGACCTACGGCGATCGAATGAGATCGCCGTGCAGCTGAAGGAGTGCACAGTGAAAATGTTCGCCGCTTGGAATGTGCGTCAACGCTGCGATCTGCTCAACGCTAAGCCTATTCGCACAGTTCATCGCCGACGGACGAGCGACTCTAAAAGAAATCACCGAAGATCTCGCTATGCACTGGACATCAGTAGGTCATGAATTTCATTCCGCGATAGCATTGATAAAAGGTGCCGTTTCAAAGGGAAAATTGACGGAGGCTCCGTGATCGAATTTCGCTACGCACTCTAGCCTGTTTCACATGCAGCGATTTTGGCCCTAGAGCGGCGCGATTTCTGCCGTCGCGGCGCTCTGGCCAGCACCAGCAATTCAGTGGCACGAGCGCCGCGACGGCAGAAATCGCGCCGCTTTAGGGCCAAAATCGCTGCATGTGAAACACGCTTAAGCCTGGTTCAGACAGTTGCGTTTGACTGCGTTTGATTGCGTTGCGGCTGCGAGAAACCAGGACATTCCTGCTACTTATATCGCGTGCTAAGATGATTCTTTGAATTGGATTGCACGCTTCACTCGAAGCACAGATGTGCCGGTGGCTCGCTTTCGGTTCTCGACGCAACGCAGTCAAACGCAATCAAACACAAGTGTCTGAACCGGCCTTTACTCGTAGCCTCTGTCCCCGCAGAAAAGCGCGTTTGACGAGGCAGCTGCTGCTTGGTTTATTTTGAAATAAAATGATTGGACACGTTTTTATTTTCAATATTTCTTTCCAGGAGCATGGTTGCGCTATAAGCGCGCGAAAATCTGCAGCTCTAGCAAATCTAACCAAGATCATGCGCGGTGCTCACTCGAAAACGTAACGCACAACTAAATTCGGTCCGAGCAGGTCATTTTTAGCGTACGCTATACTATTGCGTATTGCGTACGTAAGAGCCAGCAACGCTATACTAAAACTGTCTAATGTTTTCTAGTGGACGCTGACTGTGCCTGACTGTACGTCAAGCATGTCTGATTGGCCAACAAGTTACTCTGACCGACAGTCAAACTCCAGTCAGATGGTTTCATGGTGGCAGTCTGCCGCCGCAAAATGCCGTCAAGATTTCTTGGTGGCGATTCTGATTGTGCATCGATTGTCTCTGACTGTACGTCAAACAGCTTTGACGTGCAGACAGACGTGCGGTCAAATTTAAGGACGTAAAGTTAGTTCGGATACCACAATTTCGTCAAATCTATGAATATAAAAAATAATATATGCACGAGAAAGCGACTTCGGGACGTGAGCCCATAAAACCGCTGATGTCAGAGATATGGCAAGCAGGGCACCCGACACCCCTGATCAGAAGACCGCCGAAACGCCGCTTCGTCCATAGAGGCTTCTCCGAGCTTCTATGAACGATCGCTCGCCACTCGTTTTGTTTGTCCGCTTGCTCCAACCTGTCGATCCTGCCCGGGCTCTAGAATGTCTTGTTTTAATAAAATTTCTCCTCGACAAGACCCAGCCCGTCGTGAGTTCCGATTATGTAAGGAACTTTAGCGGTGTAGTTGAAGACGACAAGGTGTACTAGGTCTACTGGGCCGGAGGCGCGCGAACAAAAGTAGGGCTCTTCGACGCGAAAGTACTCTATTTTGCAAGCGAGTAGGACCGCAGTACAGCGATTGATATGCGAGTGCTTTGCATAACATGCTGAAGGCTTAACTGCATTTGCAGCCGAAGCATTCTTTAGAGCGATGAATCACTGTCGGAACCTCGTGCTGCAATACTGAAATGCTGTTGACTTGGTCCGAGAGGTTTAGGCTAGGAAGGTTATAGTTTTCTATCTGGTGTGGGCTATTGGCCTTACCTCTGTGTCGCAGCTCATTATTATTGTTTCATGAAGAGCGCAGACAAAAAGCATCCGCGAGCGTAGTTCAGATATGTCTGCTGCTCGCGTTCGTCCTTGGAAGCCAGGGCTGTCTGTCGTAGCATGCCTGCTTGCTCTGTAGCTTCAACGGAGTCGCATACGGTTTGTGAGTTAAAGTGTATACGGTCGTCTTGAAAGGTTCAGACATCTAGGGCGTTTCTCTGAAACATGCTTAGGGTGCTGTGGGCCGGTCTGCAAATGAGTGTCCTTTTTGCCTGAAAAACGCAAATTTCAAAAATGAAAAAAAAATAATAATAATGACGGGTACACACTTTTTCTGATTTTAGATGTATTGAATTACATTCATTTTAAGGACTTGTAAACCGTTTGATAGCCATGCTAGATGGCCACCTCGGCTTGTAAACCGTTTTATAGCCATCCAAGATGGCCGCCTTGGCATGGGAGCTTTTATGTAAACGCTGCCTTTGATGAAATTTCCTTGGCAATGGCAGTCAGACGTCATCTGATGGACCATTAGGGCACGTTCCACCAGGGATGCTGACTGACAGTCAATGTCCCACAATACGTATCTTGATAGAATTTTCATTAGGGCAGGACCGGCAAATTCTAACTTCCGTCTATGTCTTCAAAGCTTTTTCTGTGTGTGTTTGTGTGTGTGTTCTTAACTGGTGAGAGTTATGCATACATTTCAGTTATGAGTCGATTTCAAAAAGCGCACAGGGATTTGCAGTCCTGAACATATCTTGAAAGCATCGCCGCAAAACTATAGACGAATTGTGCTGTTAGTTTTTCCGCGTTATGTGCATGTCTAGACTTTTTTTTATACCTCCACTGGTTACATTAGTTTGTCAATATCTGCAAAATTTCCTTTTGATCATTAGATCATTTGTTTCTTACTTTATAAATCTGTCATCGGCAAAAAGTTAAGTTTTCATACAGGCTCGAATTCCTCGGCCTATATTGCTAATATAAATGATCAACAACAGCGGCCCAAGAACAGACCTCTGGGGCACTCTTGATATAACGTATGACGTTTTAGAGATTTATTTAACTGCACAAACCGTTACCTACCAACAAGATAAGCTTCAAGCCAAGTCAGAATGTGATCATCGTTCAGAACATACTTGAGTTTATGAAGTAGTTTTGGGTGAGAGACACGTTGTTTTTGCGATGGTTCGACAGTGGCACGTAATTTGTGACACTTGTTTCGCATATTGCGATAAGCGTATCTTTGAAAAACTGTAATAGAAGGATTATGCCAAGGTTTTTAGTTACGCCAAATATATTTTGTTACGTGTGCTCCTCCCTGTAATAGCATCTGACCAAGTGATCGCGGGTTTTTAAAGGTGTTCACGAGCTGAGCCTTCTGCTGAACTTTACCCATGAGACCTTGTTTCGTGGCCGGCTAGAGTTTTTGTGTCTGGGATTGTACTTTGGGACGGAGCATGTCTCTTAGGCGCATAAATCTCGTGCCCCCCCCCCCCCCCCCCCCCCAAAAAAAAAAATAATTTTGCCTTTTTAGATTGGTTTACTCAAAGTTGGTGAAGAGGGGAATATATTTATATTTTCTTTAAGGGAAACACTGAATACATTCTGCCGCCACCGAATAAAAAATCTTAATTTTCAGCTTAGCAGGCTGGAAGCGGAAGGGTACCCCTATCACGTTCTTCAAGATGTTCCTTAAACCCTGCGGAAAAATTAAGGAAAGACAACAGCACAATCTGTAACAGGGGGCATAGAAGGATGGGCGGACCTGCTGTTTTGCAATACATACACAACATGTCCTATAACCTGAAGAATGTGGCGCATTGCCTTGATGTACGGGTAGTTCTTTTAACGTAAAAAACACGTTCTCCATGGTGCAAAAAGATAAGTAGATCGGCAGAGGAATCAGCTGTGCAGCGAAGAATCCGCAAAAAATGGCATGTAACCAGGTTCCGCGTGTGCCTCACAAGCCTTACGTATGAAATCTCCCTGACATGTGCAAAGGTGCACGCTCGCCAGACGGGGAGATGCCCAATAAAAGGGTCAAAAAGCATGCGTTGGCGAATAGGCAATCCATGTCTGGCCACCCAGTGGTCCACGGTGATCATCGAGAGTGCAAACCCATCTTGAAAAGACCATGCGACCGTCCCGTCTTCCTAACCCGTTGTCGACAGCTTGGTGCGACCAAAGAGAAACACAGGGTCGAAGCGCTCCCCAAGAGAGTGGAAGTCTGGCGCTCTGGCGTCACTCTGGCGCGTGGCGTCCTGCCGGTCCGGTCAAACAGTCTCGAAACGGTTGGAATCGGGTGGCTGAAGAATCAGGGTTCCCCTGTGGAGATGGCCCGGACCAGGCCGCCGGCGTCGGCAGCCTTGACTGCGGCCCTTGCGCAGAGCACGACCCGAGACTTGAAGCGTCCCACCCGTAGTCTGGCGCCCCTCTGGATGCCCTGGTTCAACTGCCGCAGGCACGCCATCAATTCCTCGTGGCTGTGACAACGTATCTTGTAGCCACTGATCAGCTCTCTGTTCAGGGCCTGCAGCTCCTGGTACCAGTTCCGCATCGACTTGCTGCAATCCGGAAATAACAGAAGCACGCTCACTGCAACTTTAATTTCACGAGAAAAAAGAAAAAGAAACTATACACTTCCGTAGAATATTCTAAGATTTGTAGTGGACATTGCAGTTTTTTTTTTTCAATTCCTGGTTATTTTATTGAGTTAGTGAAAACCTTTATTCTATTCCGAACTCTCTCCCTTTTTAAAAAAATGCTGGGTACACTTTGGATTTCTCGCTTTTTTTCGTATGAACTGATTGAACACTCGACCGCGAACGCTCGTGATCAATGCTCGCTCATAAAAAAAATAAAATAAAATTACTTGGTGCAATGATAAAATATTGAGCCCAGAGTCGGGGGGTCCTAGGTTTGACTCTCGTTGGGGAGCTCCTACAATTTCATCCATTTCAATTTACTGCTTATTTAAGAAGCGTGTTACGGATTCCCTAACAGTTTCTGTAGCGGTATCCACCCAGGCGGATAAGCCATCTCGGTGGCTCCGAGGCGAGAGCGTCGGCCTACGGATCCCCATGTGGCGGGTTCAAATCCCGGCCGAGGTGCCCGCAATCTGACGGAGGCTTATTGCGGAGAAGGCGCCGTGTAATCGAGCTTTCGGTTGCACGTCAAAAGATCCCCAGATGGTCGAAATTAATCCTCAGTCCTCCGCTGGGGCGTGCCAGATGCCCGCCGTTGGTTTGGCACGTAAAACCCCCAAATTTGACTTTGACCAAGGCGGATACACTTGCACGTACCCACGCGTAGAGTGTGGGGGCAGATGATAAAATTGAGGCGGCTGACTGGTCCGGCGAGTGCGTAGCTTCCACCGCAGTGTCACTTTGGCATGAACATAGAAGAGTTGAAAACTTTCCTATGTAGTATCGTTACACAGCTCTGTTAAGTCGACCTGGGACTACTCACTTGGATCTATGGTCAAATTGATTTAAAAGGTTTTTAACAAGCGCAAGCAAAACAAGAACAATAAAGACACAAAGAGTACAAGTTTTAATCTAACGTCGAAGTTTCTCCCCGTGTTCTGGTACCGTACTCACAAGTCGCCCATGAGCCTAGAGTCTTCAGCCCTCAGGACGAGGTCACGAACTATAGTGGCGGTGTCCGCCATGTTGGCGGATATGGTAAGCCTCGCGGATAGGTGTTCTTGAACCTGCGAAATAAAGGAAGTGGCTCGCACTTTTCTAGAACGCACACATTCATCCCAGCAAGATAGACTTTGCGCTGTGTCGGGTTTTCTGCTAAAGTCGCCAGTCGCGGGACGTGCGCAAATAGGCAGGTGGTTAAAGACGGGAAGACCGTGTGGACGCGTTGTTGTACTGTCAACCTTGTGCCTGTTGCGGCGGTAACTTTAGTGTACCACCGCACTGATTTAATGCTTCTTCATGACGCTCAGCAAAGTGTCTGCGTCTCCATTTTTCTTGGACATCGACACCTTAATGCAAGCACTAAAATGAATATTTCAGCTGAACAACAAATAAAACAATGACATTTTTTCCCGGGACTTTCTAGATGGAAGTCATAAAAATATCAATATGCAGTAATTTAACTTTTGAATGCGCACAGTTTTGTTCAACTTCTTTTTTTTTTGCCATGAATTATTTTGTTTACGTTCACAAAATAAACAAGTTCAGCTTTTTCGACAATATAGAGCAACGTTTCCTAGTACTGTAATTGCCTCTGCGCCATAAAACGCAGTGAAGTAGATTTTGATGTTTCCTTAAAAACATTTTATCCTAAAAAATGTCCCAGAAGGTTGGGCATGACCGAAACCAAATGTTTATCTTAACTACCTGTGAGACAAACCTGGTTCGAACTTGCGTGAGACGTGACGGTCGGATATACTGTCATCGTGCCTGCAGTGAATACCGCGCCTTTTGTATGATCTATCAGCAGCGTGGTCGACTACGGCGTTAAGCCAGGTTCACACTGCCCCTACATCATGACAAAGAAGGTCTGCGAGCACGAGTCACCCCAATATCCGTGGTTCGAATGTCGCCTTTCAAGCATCTTTCTTGAACTCATTGGCATCTGGCATTCGAAGCACGGATCTCGCGGTGACTCGCGTTAAAATTTGCTTGCACCCTGAATTGTGTGTTCTGTATAAGCAGGTGTGAACCCCGGCTTCAGAGACTTTATTTTGTGCATACATCTTTCCATCAGCCAGTTTTGTTATGTCAACGCTGCCGCGATGCATCGAGGGAACTTTATTCTTTCTGCACGTGCGACAACCTCGCTGGAGCTGTGCTCATGCAGAGCACGAGGCGGCACGAACCGTCTTGTGCACTGCTGCCTGCCTCCTGCTAACTAAAGTTATGGCGGCGTCACGCGTACGGCGAACGTTCAGTTAGATCGGTCAATTAACAAGCAGTTGAAAAACTGTCGAGTTACAGGGCTGTGGCGATACTACTAGCGTGTCTGGAACGCTTCTCCGACTGGTTTGTTTACCGTGTCCAAAAAGTGATCCCTCACTTTCCTCCTGAGAGAAACATACAAGTTCCATGCAGTTTTCTGATCGCTACCCTCGCGGTATCCCCATGAGCAGCATTGGATGTTGCAGGCACCTGTTCTGTTGTAGATCGCTCTCCAGTGCACCTGCCCACGGAAGTATCGGCAGCCAAAAGTTGGGACGCCGCGGCGACAGCAACACTGGTATTTGATCGAGATTTTCGCGAGCGTTTTATTAACATACCATCAGGATTTCGATATCTGACAGCGTGACACTCTGACTTCTGCGACTTCATCTGTTGCCACTTCGGACCCACTTTTGATAGATGGGGAAGATATGACACTAAACGCACCAGTCGGAGACGAGTTCCAGGCATTATAATACCAACTTAGTGGTGACATGTTAAAGGCAAGAAGAGGTTCTTCAGAAAAAAAGAGTTTGAGCTGAATTCTAGAGTAGTTTTATCCCGTGAATTTGAATAAAACATTAGTCTTTCCCGGAGATGCAACTAAATGCGGGAAACATCCGACTAGTCGTTACGTCAAACTAAGATCTTTAGGCCGCCAAACGAGTGTCGCTCGTGTGGGCAGCACATCCAATACACCTATTGCTAGAGAATGCCGGGATTTGTGTTCCACGCGCCACAAGCGCACGCCTTTCCCGTATAAAAGATTCGAAGTAAATAACCAAAATAAAGCGTTGCCGAACGCGCATATCGATAGTCGTCCTTAAGGGCAGGAACGGTCTTGTAACCTATGTTCTTTTAGAAAGGGAGAAACTTTCGTCCATGAAGCAGGGGAGCAAATAATTCTCCTGCTCATTATGGCAGCCCTGAATCGAGCAAACCGAGCTCAGTGAGGCTTAACGAGGACGCTACGTCTCTTGTACGTGAGCAGAGGCGCAGCAAATAAAAGCGCAACACGAGCTTTCCGCGAGCTGTGTATATATTCCAAAGCCAGATTCCCCCGCAGGTACAGAAACTCCTATTTCGAAAGCAGTTACTCAGTCTTCTCGTCGACAGCACTGCGATGTTAAACGGAGACAACCGATACCCAGCTACTTCGCGCACTTTACGCCTTACCTTTGCTGTTCGTCAACCGCACATCACGGAGGAATGGAGAACCAATCCGCGAAGCCAAAAGCCGCTCTCAAAAGAACAAATTCGAAGTCGCTGTTCATCGTCTAGCGTGAAAGAAGGTTAAATCGCTTGCCACCAGATGGCAGGGTCAAGCAGAGTAATTGCAATTACTAGGCTAGGTACCGCTAGGTACCGCCCAATTCATGTTCTACAAAAAAATATTTTTATTTTCTCAGGCCACCATTACGCATCGGGATTTTCGGGAACCTCTGCGACCTCTGCTATACGCACATCAGACACCCTACGCATACTACAAGCATCCGGTGAACATGCATTGAGTGCGTACAGATACATGTCACATACAAACATCAATACAACGGCACACTAACCCGAACACTATGCCCGAGCTCTCCGTTTCCGTCTTTTATACTGGTCGTTTTGAACGTACGGAATTTCTCGGTGACTCCCTAAGCAAAAAAAAAAAAAAAAATTCCCAGCATACTCCTTTTTTTCCAGCAATGTCATACCTCTGAGAGTATTTTGTATGGCTCAGGGGAAAAATATTTTATTAAAAAGTAAATGCTCGATCTTGCCGTAAATAATGAAAGCCAATAAATCAATGCGGTTCGAAGCCGTTAGTTTGTTTCCCCGTACGGCACGTCGTAGCCTGTATTTCTATTGTAGCGTTTGTTTTTCTATTCGGCTGAAATTGCCGTCTTGAATTAATCTTTGTAGAGCAGATATTCACTCAGCTGAAAGTGATGCTTCACGGGCAGAAAAATCGCATTTCGATCAACTTGAAGGCAGTCAAAGCCGTGACTTAGGGCAGGTGTAAAGTCTACGAAGCTACGCCGTCGCGAGCTCGAAAACTTCTAGCGCTCATCCTAGCGCGCCACTTAAAGGGCAGTATTTTTAAACAGCAAATTAAAGAGTAGCTTTTTATTTTCGATTTTACTTACTATTCTTTTTAATGCTAAAATTCCACACTGTGAATATACGTACTTTCCGTCATAAGTTCGCACTGTTCAGACCTTTCCCCAGAGCGCAATCGCTCTCGGCGAGGAGACAACTGAGAGTCACAATGGCCACTGTACGATAAGAGCTTACTCTTCTGACCAGCGTTCCAACATGACTACCGGCAAGTCGATCGATTGCACGTGCCTAATCCTTCAAGTAGTCTTAAACTTTTTAATGTAAAGCGGAATGTCAACGTGCGACACCCCGCCCCCTCCGATCACGTCCCGACCAGCGGCATCGATTCCCGACAGTTTAAGTCATCTCATCTTGTTGTTACAGAACTGATACGCGAACACACGGTCACATCGGCGATAATTCCAGTCTTCTGTTCAGAACTTACAACACTGCCATCACGATGTTGCTGCTATGTTGCTGACACGCATAAATACAGAACCGCGTTGAACGCCGGTAGGCACTTGGCATCGGAAAACAGAACCGAACTCAGCACGGAAAACACCCAGGCAGCCGGCAGTAAAACCAGCCTGTCTTGGAAGCAGTTCCTGCGATTTCCATAACGTCGAAAACGTCGACACAGCTCCGCGTGGTTCCGCTACTGCAGTTCCGCGTGGGTCCCGTAATCCGGAGCCGGCCATCTTACCCAGTCTAGATAGCGGTGCTGGCACTACTCCGGAACTTCGCTGTTTCTAACGGCTTCGTTTGTTCGTTTGATAAAATTAGTGATAAAAACGTCAATGCAACCGAAATGTTCTGCACGTTTGGACTAGAAGACGCAATTACAGGCGGCCTTCGCTGCCGCTGAAGCTCAATCAACTCAACAACATTTATAAACCAACGTGCGCGACGTGCTCAAAAAACGAAACCGAAAGAAGATGAGTCGGGAGGGCGAAGGCGAAAGCTTTCTCCCGTCTGCCTGGAGGAGGAGAAAAACGTTTCATTCATCCCTGTTTCTCGTGTCCGCTTGGGGGCGCGTCAGCAGGAGGGAGGAAGACGCGCCGTTGCTACCTTTTTCCTCCATTTTTTCTTGGAGTGTATGCCATTCGTTTTAGGTATTTGCTTTAGAAAAGTTACTACTGCTGACGCCAGCACGTGCGGCGGGTGGAACACCAATTCCTGCATTCTCCTTGATAGTTGAGTAAATAGCAATAAGCCTATAGCAAGCTTGCCAAGTATATTCCCCCATGCTCACACCAGTCGTGACGGTCCTATTCTGACCATATTGAAAATAGCAATAGTACGCGCGCATAGCCTTTATAGGCACCGAAAATACGCGAGAGCGGAGATTCCGTAATCTTCTTGAATAACGTAACGGTCCAGCAAGGGGGGCTTCAGTTGTAAGCTGAAAATAATTTTCTTTTGCGTCCGTGCACCAAATTAAAAATAATATTCTCGACATTCACGATCCCGGAGGTCAGATGATGACGATTTAGGTGTTTTCTTCGGATACAAAACCATGACAGTTTCCATTTAAAAGCAACCTCTTTCCAGTTTAGCAGAGTGGATGCTGGAAAGGGAGTCGCCTCCTCTCCACCGTTCGCTCTGCCAAAGGGGAGAGAGCTGGGAGGAGCTTCTACCTTGCTCTTCGACTGTCATCGATTATAGAAGACGAGTCCTGAGAATGACGTCATCGTTGCTGGATTCGCACCCCGCCCCAGGCGGCAAACACGCTGAAGCTCTACAATAGTTTGCCTCAAAGTGACAGACGCGGCTGCCGTTTTGCGGTGTCTGCGTTGTGAGACGCAGCAAGACCCGCTTTGCGGCGACGCTGACGCGAGCTATGCAGGGCTGCGTGGATGTACCAGTGATGACGTTTGGAGGGGAAAAAGGGAGACCTTGTCTTTTGGGTTGCATTGGCTGTGATCGCATAAGCGGCATCATATATTCCACACACAAAACAAAAGAAGCTGTACTGCAGTACGTTAGGATGCAAACGCTCCAAAACGCGTTCCACTCCCAGTAGACAAAGATGGCGGCGCGCAAAAAGCAGTTGTTCGAATGGTCTTTGTGATAGTGCATCTGACCGCATCTTTTTCGGTATACTAAGGCAGCCATTTATCAAGTCGCGCTGTGCATGAAAGGCTTTTACTCGGCAACAGAGCACCAGGTGCGGAATATGCACGGATTGCAGACTATGCACCAGGTGCAGACTGTATACATGTAGAAGCTTTCCTTTATTATCCTATTATTTTTTGGCAGATTATACATACAGTGGAAAGTACGGTAATTCCAGTGTTGGTGACATTTCTCGTCACGCGAAAAAGATTTTCATTTTTTATGCAAAGTTATAACAGTCGGAGGTGCCATAGAACCTTTCAGGCTCCATTTAAAACGAAGCGGGGTTATTTGAAGTTGCGCGTCAATTAAGAAAAAAAAATACGTGCCTTGCTCATGAGAAGCTGCAGGTTAGCGTTATCTTCGGGGAAATGGGCCGTAGACTCGAGTTCTTGCAGCGACAGGAAGGCTGCAAGGGACTGGACCATTTCGGCGGCCACTTCCATCATGTCCGTCTCTATGGTTACCTGTGAGGAAAAACAGAGCTCGCAGCTTGCTTCGCGTGGTACGTGGGTGCACCGAAGACAGACTTCATCTAGTCACTGACGTTACGAGAACGGCAACGGCAGGGCTTTTCTCCCAAATCCTCGGCTCCCAGCGCGTACTTTTGGTCTTCCGTTGTACTTTGTCCATTCTAGCCGCGCTCGTGATGCAAAAACGCCGAAGAGGTGTCGAAGGTGGAATGCTCAAGCTAGGAGTTGGACGAGTGAAGCTCCTCTCTGCCATTCTCACCTTGTAAGTGACCACTCGCGAGTCGAGCAAGACTGACGGCCCCTAACGGTAATACACTGAACTGGGCGGACCAGGTCCTTTTCGCGATTTCTGTTCGTCTGTTTTGACTTCCCTGATTACATGTTTTCGGTGGTTGGCACGATATAACAGTTGTTCTGGTGGCTGTAGTTACTGCCGCATCAACGTGTTGCCGAGCTCGCTCTCAATGCACTCTACGCAAACGGATAAACCAGATGTGAATTTATCACCGTTCATCAGCACCATAAAAAGACAGTAGGTTCATCGTTTCCCTAGGCCAAGCGTCTGAAAGGACGCTTAGGCCAACACATCGCAGCAGGCTTTAAATTTAGTGGATACCAATATAGGCCAGTCATTTTGAGACCAATCGTTGCCTGCTGAAACCCGAGCATTGTGCGTTGAGCTGGCACAGGCGTATAGTTAACAGAATGTATGCCAGTGATTGAACTGGTGCCAGTGCGCGGTTCAAAATAAAGGTACAAATCGACTAGTCTGAAAGCGACTTCCGGTAATGCATTTCTATGAGGAAAAGTGAGTGAACTTTCTCCCTGCGCTTGATTCTAGGAGCGAATATCCCGAATAATTCGCGCGTACTAGATAGCTTGGAACATTTCTCATTCGCGCACCCCATAATATTGGTCAGTTTCAGTGTTCTTACGTGAAGCGTCTTTAGGGTAGGTTTTTACATTAAGTGAAGAATAAAAAGCGTCACAATGAGTTTTTCCGCTCACTTTATCTGGGTGATTCGCCGGTAAATTTGCCGGCTCAACTTAACGGCAAAATTGGATTTGTGTGTAAGTCACGTGACCCCATTTCCCGCAAAATTTGGAGGGCAACAGGGTGGAGAGCAGTGGGCGGAGTCAGTGAGTAGAAGAGAAAAGAAGAGTCCTCGTGATTAAGCTCGAGAAGAAATGACTGGAAGTAAGTAGCGCTACACGAAATCAAACCGCTCATTGGTCAATGGGGGGAGACGAGTGGGTAGTATCAATGGGATGGAGGAGTGAATGGGCCAATGAGTCATTAGGGTGGAGAGGAGTGGATGGAGCCAATGGGTTGGACCAAATGGCCTGTATGGGAGTGTAGACTCCTAAAGGCATAGCTCGAGAAGAAATGCCTCAAGGTCATAGTTCTTTCTAAACCAAGAGCGTCTCACGCAGCAACAAAAATGCAGGACTGTTTGCCACACATTTTAGAGCGCAGCTCTTAGGCGCCCGGTTCCGTGTTTCGCGGCGTCCGCGCGGCGTAAGTGCGCTAAATTTAACAAAAAAATTGACGTCACGTGACGTTAACACCAACTCAATTCGTCGCTCAATTTAGCAGGCAGAGTGACGTCACAAGACTTTGTGTCACGTCACCTATGAATCATTTCAGTTTCTCCGCTACATTTTTCGGGGAAATTGACGTCACGTGACCGTTAAATTTCCAGATCACGTGGCCTCAATTTTTCAGCAAACGTTTCCGGGGAAACTTTGGCACGATTGGAGGGTATAAAGGAGGAGGAGGATGGGAGTTTACGGAGGCGGCGGATGGGACGTTACGCAGGATGTGAAAAGGAGGGTATGGAGCAGGAGAAAGGGAGAGGGAGAAAAGCAGGAAGGGAGAAGGAAATAGGAGGAGCAGAGGGTACAAAGGAGGAGAAGGTGCATACCCTCCCCTTCTCCTCCTCAAGTGCTCTGCTCCAAATTCCCGTTACAGGGATTTGTAAACGTCTTTCACTTTTAGAGCGCCGCTCTTAGGCTCCCGGTCTAAAATATAGCGGCGTCGCCGTCGACGTCGGCGTAACCGCCCCGCTAAATTTATCCGGAAATTTAAATGGTGTTGAGGTCATATGACGTCATTTTCCGGCATGTTTTTTGCGGGGAAGCTGATTTGTTTCTGGGGTCAAAAGGAGGGGAGGAGGAGAAGGAGGAGAGAAGGGGAGGAGGGAGAGCCAATGAAAAGAAGGGGAGAGGAATCGTAGTGAGGGGGAGGAGCAGGCAGGGTACGGTGGAGGAGGAATGGCGGATACGCCCCTCCTTCTCCTCCACGCCTTTCGAGGAGGAGCAGGACAAGGTATGCCTTTCCTCCTCCTCTGCACCCTTCCTTCCCCTCCTCTCCTCCTCCTCAAGAGCTGCGTTCGAATTTCGCATTACAAAGATTTGTAACTGTCTTTCTTTATTTCCATCAAAATTATGACATTCAAAACGGCGCTAAAATTGCTTCGCAGAAGTGTTTGTGTGCACCGTCCAACATTGTTACTGGGAACACGGCATCCGGGTGTTAGAGCACAGCTCTTAAGTGCCGCTTCCGGATATCGGGACGTCGCCATCGGCGGTGCCGCGCTAAATTTAGCAGGAAATTTGACGTCACGTGACGTCAACACCACTTCGATTCCCCGCGAAATTTAGGGCGGAAAATCACGTCATATTACTTGGTGTCACGTCACCTATAAAGAAATCCGGTTTCTCCGCTAGATTTAGCGGGAAAATTGACGTCGCGTGACCTCAACAGCAATTTAATTCTCCACTGCATTTAGCAGTGGAGAATTGGTGTTGCATTTAGAAACACCATTTTAATTCCCCGCTAGACTTAGTAGGAAAATGGACGCCACGTGACCTCGACACCAAGCCAGTTTCCCCGCAAAATTTAGCGGAGAAAAGGACGTTACATAACTTGGCGTCATATCACCTTTGAACAAATTCAGTTTCACCGCTAGATTTAGCGTGAAAATTGACGTCACGTGTGGAGAAGAAGGTTGATGAGAGGAGGAGGAGGAGAGAGGAAGAGGGGGAGGAAATGATGGGAGCACAAAGAGCAGAGGAGGAGGTAAGGAGAACAGGGTACGGAGGAGGAAGAGGGGCAAACCATCCCCTCCGTACCCTCCCCTACTCCTGCTCGAGAGCTGCGCTCTAATTTCGCGTTACAGAGATTTATAAACGTCTTTAATCTTTTTGTGCGGGGGTTTATGTTCCGAAGCCACGAAGAAGTATCTCTAAAATGAAGAGACTAGAGTGCCCGCTCAGAGGGAAAATACAAAGAAATCCCAGGAAACAAAATGTCGTCGTAGCACAGTCAGCGCCACGAGCGCGTGCAGGGACACGCTCTTTCACGCGCTTGAGAACAAAAAATAAAAATAAGCGTTCGAAACAAAATGGCCAGATGTCACCACCCCAAGCAAAGCGCACATGAAGGCACCCTAGAAGAGACGTCAGGAACTACGCACTAGTGTGCACGCGTAGCCGATAAAAACAAGGTAAAGTCAAGGTGTGAGTGTGATTTGCAATAAATAACATTACACTTATTCACTCTTCTGATCATATTGTCGTGAATGACAGACAAACAGGCAGCAGAAAACAAAATGAACTAAAGATTCAATAGGGATTAACTTGCGCCAGAAACTAAAAAAAAGAACTGGTCAACAAAGCAGCAGGGAGCGTCGACGGCAGCAGCAGCAGGCACGGTGTGTCGGCGACGCAGCTTCATATCGCGAGAGAGAATCAGTGAATAAATATGCTATGCGGTGCTCTGCTCTTTATCTACTTTGCTACTCATCTCGAGTATTCGACCGACCTAGAATGTTTGGGAAAGCGCTAGTACGAGACTGACTACTTATCGTTCTGGCCTCCATATCATTTACGCTCGGGGTAAGAGTATATGCGAATTTTCTAGATTAACGGAGAAGCTACCTTCTTGATAATGCATGCAGCAATATATGGGTGCAAATGTAAGTTTGTTTAGCTTTCAAAACGCATATCTACGTACTCGAAAGCTCTTAAAGTGAGGAAAGTTTAGAAAGCTCTTTTTGCGCAATAATTTCCACACGAGAATCAAAGCACTTCATTCTCAATTTTCACCTTTTAAATGGTCATTCTAGTGCTTATAAATATTGCACATTATCAATATTATTAGCGTCATCAGGCTGTTAGCGCTTCTTGAATAAGTACGTTATTTTTTACTGTTATTCTTGCTTAGGTTCGCCGCTTGATTTTACTGCGCACTTGCCGGGGAATATAGGACTAGACTCGGAGTCATGAAGAGGTAAACGTTACTCACTTATCGTAAAAATACTGTAACTAAAGCAGATGCGCTTTTATGATGTTAATAAAGCTACCTTCTATTGGCTATGACCCAAGTAGCAAAGGCAGTTCCTGTTGTTCTCCGTCAAAGAGACACAATTCCCGTGCGTTTTTCATTAGTAAATTTCCCCTGGACCATTCAAAACAACGCCCCTCCAACAACACACTCCACATTGACGGGAGATAGATCCCAAAGGTCTCTGCCCTCAAAGTCCTAGAGTTTCAGATACAACCCACTAGACTCCGTCACCACTTTTTTAACGCCATAGAAAGGAATATAAACCTAACTATGCGGAGAGCAAGTCGTCTGCTTGTTGCGCAGGACTTGGGTTGCGGTGACGTCAGAGCGACGCCAAGCTGTGATTGGCTTTGATTTAAAAGATAGTGGGTAGATTTCAATGATACCTTGAAAACTACACCTATTTTGTTTTTCAATCAGCAAATAAGAGCTCGGCATCCTGACGTCGTCGCAGCTCCTATGCACGAAACAGACGAACTTGCGGTCTGCATAGGTCTCCTCAAGAGCGCCACCAACAAACACGCAGGCCTTACCGAGCAGGACAGGGTCCGCCTGCTCCTAGCCTTCGTCGTGAGGAGAACAGTCTGCTCCATCCCCTACCTTAAAATGACTCTGGCAGACACCGACAAAATTGATATCCTCATTAGACGCCCCTACAAGA